GTAACTTTAAACATTGTATATAATTGTTATATGCAGAGGATAATGTTTGAAATAAAATAATCTAAACTTGTCCGTAATTATAAATTAAAGTTGGGATCTTTAATTTAAAATTACTAATGTGGTTCATTACATTCTGAATGAAACAATCTTATCCTAGATTGTTAATAATGAGATTATTAGAATGAAAGTATTTTATGTAATATGATTACATAGGACCGGAACGCTATTAATTATGAATCTCTAATAAATTCCGTTATTAAATAGAGCATTCAATATTAATCAATGATGGTCATATATGAATTAATCTTAATTTTGAGTAATTAATAAACTCCTATTTATGATATTATGTTCTTTGACATATTGAGAAATGACACATGTGAATAGTGTCAAAGTCTTGGTATATTGGGAGCATAGTAAAATAAATAGCTGGGAATGTTAATTTACAAGATGAAATTCATTCCTTCATAATGAAGTAGATGGACAGTTCCCATAAATGTTGATTCGGGGCTTGAATAATAAGAGCGCTCAATTTTATGATTGGATCATAAAATATATTATTCATTAGAGGATCAATGGTACTTGTGGAGAAAGATATAATTAAAAAGGTTAACGAAAAATACCTAGCTTTAATTATGAACCGTTTATGGATGATTAATTTGTATGTAGTGACTATATCAATGGACAACACAAATTTCGTGAACATAATTGTTTTATTATTTTAAGAGTGCAATTCCAAATTTATAGAGGAGTAATTTGGAATTAATAATTTTGATATATTAATTAAGGTGTTAATTAATTGTCAAAATTATTGGAGCTTAAAATTATAATGTCCATAGTTCTTCTCAATGGCTTCATAAGATTAATGTGACCTGAATATATCATATTGGGTTATGATTATTAATTTAAAATTAAGAATTTTAAATACACATATATTAATTAATTCGATTAATTAATATTAAAATTATTTTAAAATTATTTTAAATTAATTTGGATGAATTTAATTATTTTTTTATAAAACAAAGAGAATTTTCTTTTACTCTCCACGTTTTCTTTTTTTTTTCACTCTCCCTGTTAATGTGTATGTGTGTGCGCGCTTGTATATATATGTATATATATATATATATGAGGAAACATGCAACAACACGTTTCCTCATTTAAATCAAAAAAGAAAAAGAAAAAGGGGAGTGGGAGTGGGAGGAAATGTGCTGTTGCAATGAGAAAATTGAGTAAATGTACGGCTGCACATTTATTGAAAAACGGGAATGAGTTATGTTTTTCTTAAGAAGAATAAAAAAGTTTTTTTCCAGAGAAAAGAAAAAAAAAAGAAAAAAGGAAGAACGGGAGAAAAAAAGAAAAAAAGAAAATTTTTTGAGTGCCATCATATACTTTTGAGAAAAGTGAGTGATAATTATAGATAGTTTTCTTATTCATCCATCTCATGTGTTGAGAAACCTATTAGAACGCCCACATGTTCAAGTTCACGTTAATCCGAAAATATATTGAGAAAAAATCGTGGTGTTCTTAGAATTTAAGAGCTCAAGACGGTGTTGGAGGAGTTCAAGATTTCCGTCCTAATCGAGGGACGGTAAAATTCTCATTCTTCTCTTTAATATCTTTATAGTTAAATTAACATGAAATAATGATCGCATTAAATTTTAATTTATGTGAATCGATCGATACCACGCTTCCGCACAATTTTTTTTGAAAATCTAGTTTGAGAAACCAACAGTACACATGGCGGATCCATATGTCAGTACAAGCAATACCCTATCTCCATAACCCTTTTCTCTTCTTTTTCCCAAACGCACCAACTGACACGAAAGGGAAATCCTTTGCAAATATGTAAGATTAGAACTATCTCTTCTTTTTCCCACCCTTCCCGGATTTAGAAGCTCCAGCATTTGACACGGATGCAGGCTCTTGCTTCTTGGTCCTGCCAGGGTGTCTCGGCACTAACTCTGCAATTCGCAACATCAGTTGTTTCCCTGCAATACAGTCGCAACATGATACTGCAAATGATAAATAGTAGTACACAAGCACAGATAAAAGTAGAGGTAAAAGTTTTTTACTCGTTTACTTTCTAGTACGCGTTGAAACAACTTTTGAAATTGCCCGCATCTTATATTGCTGCCTAATATAGTTATCGTGTCTCAGCGAAAAAGTCACCCAATATCTGATATAAAATCATAAGATAAACCGATATGGAATTAAGGAAACTTAAAGAGGAAATCACTGATATGGAGTTTAAGGAAACTTAAGAGGAATTCCTGCTTATTTATGACTGGGCTCGATTCACCTCAATCTTCCATTTAACGTTTCAATGAACCAACAACAACAGAGCCCCTTGATGCAAAGTTAACCACGCCTTTTAGGAAGGAATTCCAAACTGCTAGTGTATATGTAAACTAGAAAAACAAATCTAAATTGACGGTAATCATATGTATTGAAATATGTTTGCAAATGAATTGGGTTGAAATCATTTCATGGTCTTACACAAAATGTGAAAAACTGCCTCTACCATTATGCAGAAATCAAACATTTTAAGAGAAATAATATCCATACTTGAAGATATGGCGGGAGTGCCATCATCTTTCTTAAGCAACACCCACACTCTCCCTCTTTGCATGAAATCGCGCGGATAAGCTTTATCAATCTGCAACAAAAAGAATCAATTAATCCAGTCAACCAAAAGCAATATTGATTCATTTTATACAAGTTTGGAGTTTTATCCACTGAAAATTAATTTAATTTATATACAGAAACTGATAACAATGTCAATATGAGCTACTCCATTGATTATTCAAACAGAAAAGAGGCAAATCCAACTAAAAGGATTCGCATAAATTAACAAGAATTGAATTTCAAAACCTAAGAATAGTAGTTAAAAGAAGGAGATTTATCAAATTCGGAATAACAATCTGAAACCCTAAAACACCGAATTGAATTGCGCAGTTACAAATGGGAAACATAAATGAAATTGATATGTCTAAATGGTTTTGAGCCGGTATGTTAATACATTGATATCAAATTGATATGTCTAAATGGGAAACATAAATGAAACAATTTCATTGCGGGGCTCATACTTGGGAAACTCCTAATGATTTTGAGCCTTACGGGTACATTGACATGTCAAATTTTTTATCTAATAAATTTGTATAAAATTATGAATAAATTAAAAAATACGTAGATTTAACAGTAAAAAAATATGATTAGAGAATCTTTCAATAATTTTTACTCTAACTAAAAATTAATAAATTTTGAAAAATAATATATTTTATTTAATTAATAAAAATTATTTTAAAATCAACTTTAAAATATTAAAAATATGTGTTCATAAAAATATTAAGATACAGTTGTAATATCATTAAAAATATAAAATGCTAAAAATAATAACAATAATAGTAAATAGTAATATAGTAGTAATAGTAATAACAAGAGAAACTTTACAATAAAACATGTTTGTTCGTCCCACTAATAAAAGTAATTAATTTTAACCGTTTATTGAATTAATTTTTAATAATTAAAATTTTAATTTACAACACGTTACTACTGAAAATTTAATCGTTGCTCCATCAAAAAAGACTCGTTAATAATTAATAATTATTCGTTATTCCGTAAGAGAAGAAGAAAGAATATGGGCCCACCGTTTACAAACACAAAATACGTGGCAGTTCCGTAGGATGTGCGTGCACGCATTTGGTCGCATTTGGTCATTGGTATCAGGGAAGGGTGAGCCAATGGTTTTGGACACGCTGTTTACTTATTCGGGGTTTTGTTGGTTTTCGCTCTTTTTTATAAAACAATCCAAATACCTCAAAAGCTGTTTTTCTTGTTTCTCAAGCCTCTACAGTGAAAATACCACAGGCTAATCACCCACGGTTTCTTTCCTCTTCTTTCCAATTTTACATTGGCACCCTCATATTCTTGTATACTTTAAAAAAATGACCTCAAACTTGTTGAAAAACTTTGATACAAGATTTTGGGTACCATATCATGTCATGTGGTTGTTACTCCAACACTATCAATTATCACATAAAAGGGTTCTATTTCACTTCATCTCTGATTCTCTATCTATGCAAAATATCTCTTAGACTTCATTCACTTGGCAGTTTTAATTTTTTAATTTAAGTTAAGATGTGACATTTTTTTAAAATTTTTAATTGTAATAAAAAAATTAAATGTTATAAAAACTAATGAACAAAGGCTTAATTATTCTCACATCGCATGCTTTGAAGATAGATTCTATGGTTGAGTATTTGAACTGGATGTTACAGGGTCAACAAGATCGGCGATGTGGATTCGTCAGTTTGTGCTGCTGCGAAAAACGTGATTCATGGCTCATCGAGAAGTACAGACACAGACGAGGAAAGAAGTAACTTGCTAGATAGAGTCAAAGAGTAAGGAAGTTATGGTTGGCTTTTTTAGTTGTTGTGCAAGTCGGGAAAAATGAAGGAAATTGGTAAGAAGGAAAGAAGGGTGGGTTGTATTTTGTTTAGGAAATTGAATAGTTACAATAAACAATTTATGTTTGCGTTTTGTTAAGGAATTACATAGTTGCAATCTCATTTTTTTTTGGATATTTTGATGGCGTAATATTTTTTCATTTTAAATATGCATTGTCTCTTTTTGAATATCAATTGTAATAAATTCGTAACTTTAATATACAATTCGTTAAAATTAAAAATTTAGAGTGCATTTAGAAAAAAAAAACAAAGTTCAGAATACAATAACAGTACAATTAAATCTATTTTTATTATTTATTTTGAATGTTTGATATAATCTAGTGTGAGAGGGTTCTCCCGGCCAAGATTGTTTATCTTCACTGCTCCACGCTCCACGCTCCACTGTTGTTTAACGGTAATGGAAAATAGTGCTGTAAAAAAACTCCAAAACATGAGGGACTAAAATATAAATAACTTGCTTTTCAAAAAAAAATAATAATAAATAACTTGGGATGGTTTTGATATTCGTAAATCGTAATTTATGGAGAATTAGAGAAATACTTCTTTTTATATATAGATATATATTTTCCTTCAGAAAGGACCGTCTCTTTTTCCGTCTCTCTCGGCTGTATAAAGAAGTTGAGAGCCTGCAACAATATTGGGAGTTATGAAGTTGAACCTCAAAAATAAAAACAAATACAAAATATTCTTTCCCAAAACCTGGCAATCTCTCCAAAGAATTTCGAATTTTCCGTCCATTTCAGCATCGGGGTAAGTGGGTATTCTTCTATATCGCTTCTTTTACTCTAGTAATTACTTTTTTTTTTCCCCCGAGCTTAATAAGCTAGTATTTCATCATTTTCCTAAACTCAACCGCATTTTTTGTTTTGCAAATTGATGAAACTTCCAAGCTGAAATTTTTTACTTCCTGAATCTCTTTCTCCGTAGACTTTTTCTTCAGACGATCTGCTTATTTTCCTTTGGATTTGAATCTTATTTTCGTGGGCATTTAATTTATTTATTTACTTCTTAGAAAGAGTCTTAGATTGTTTTTGGAATTTGGAAATAAGTTCCGGGTCGTTGAATTTCATACTTGTTTCTATTGTATTAGTCCAAGATCCTCATAAGTCACTCAACATTACTATGTTGAGTTGAACTTGAGACCAAACTCGTTTTGTAAATGGGGATGAAAATAATTAATAAACGAGACAGGTATTTTAACAATATATGCTGATTTTTAATCTGGTTGATTTTGTTGACTTACGTGGGCTGCGTCCGAAACGAACGCACAAAGGAGGGTTTTTGTTATTATCCGGTGTTTCTACTTTGTAGTGAGGGTGTTGTATTAGGAACTAAGAATATGAACAATGTGGATAAAAAAAGCTGTACACCTATTAGGAGCCGTAAAAAGGGTATTTTTGTAGCATTTTGGTCATTCACTTATTCTTGATCAGAGCATATCAGATTGTCTTTTATGTCGAGATACCTCTATATGAAACAAGAGTCTTAAGACTTTGAATTGATAAAGAAGAACTACATTGTTTTTTTTTAAATAATGTTTTGGAAAGTTTAGCTATACTTAAAGCAGTAACTTTTTGACAACTCTATTGACTATTTTTCCATTAGGTATCAATGAAGTACTTATTTAACTACTCTATTTTATAGTTTGCTAGAGAGTTCCTTCATTTTATTACAATTGTTGAATCTGATTTTAGCACTTATTTGTCCAATTAATAAGCTAAAACTCCATTGTGAAAATGCAGATAACAAACTAATCTTCCTAGCGAATTAAGAACCACCGTGCTTCAACAATGTCGATCTTGTCAACATTGCGTTGTATTACAGTGGACGTTACTGGTACACTGCTAGCTTACAAGGGGGAGCTCGGTGACTACTACTGCATGGCAGCCAAATCCGTCGGCCTGCCTTGCCCTGACTACAAACGGGTGCACGAGGGCTTCAAACTAGCATACAAGGACGTGGCCCAAAAGTATCCTTGTTTCGGGTATGCTGCGAAAATGCCCAACATTGTGTGGTGGAAAACATGCGTAAGAGACTCTTTTATTAGGGTAAGATTATGTTGTGTGAAGCTTTGATCATAACTAGTCTTTTCATTCACATCATGGCATGATGATACTTATATTTAATATTACATCTTATCTTAAGAAAAAAAAATTCCAGAAATGCTTCCAAGAAATGACTTGCAAAAGTATCAATACTAAGGAAAAATGGGACCGTTAGTTTTGAACTTTTGATAATGTCCTTGTCAGAATGTTATGGAGTATGATCCTTGTTTTGGTCTTAGGCGGGCTATGACTATGATGAGGAGACATTTGAAAAGGTGTTCAGACGCATATACGCATCGTTTGGTTCATCTGCTCCTTACACTGTTTTTCCAGACTCCCAACCATTTTTAAGATGGGTGCGTGAGCAGGGTCTACAGGTGGGGCTTATTAGCAATGCGGAATATCGGTATCAAGACGTAATTCTCCCGGCATTGGGTCTGAACCAGGTAGCAATTTAATCTCCATATTTCAGGTTTAGACATTTTTTTCCCCATTCCCGAGTAGAATAGCATAATAAACGGATGTGGGTGTAAGAGATACTTATAAGAAGCAACAGATATCCATACCCTTCTTATCATTTAGAAGTATTATGTTTGTTTTGGACTCTTTGTGTTGGAATTATTATGTCTATATTTTCTTCGATGATAGTATATGTGCAAGGCTTATGCAGGGATCCGAATGGGACTTTGGCGTGTTTTCTGGTCTTGAAGGCGTTGAGAAACCAAATCCGAGGATATACGAGATTGCCCTTCAGAGGGCTGGAAATGTGGCGCCACAAGAGGTTTTGCATATTGGGGATAGCATGCGCAAAGATTATGTGCCGGCAAAGAGTGTGGGGATGCACGCGTTGTTGTTGGATCGTTTCAAGACGAAGGATGCAGAGGAGTGGAGGAAGTCCGGTGCAACTGTGCTTCCTGACTTTGTAGCAGCGAAAGAATGGCTTACTTCAGACAACTCAACTTGCTAATTAAGCAAAAGACTGTTTCTCTCTCATATCCCAAATGATATTACTGTTTGTTATACACCAAGTTTTTTTTAAAGGGTTTGATGGCTAATAATGTGCTTACCAGAATAGAGCTTCTCTTGTAGGTCCCACCGTTTTACAAAAAGTTCGATGAAAAGAGAAATGAAGGCTGTTACCCTTTAGGAAAAAAAAAACAAGAAGCCTGTTTGATTGGTTTGGAAGCGAAAGAAGGATCATATAATTGTTGGTCTAATTTCCTGCACTTCCAACCAAAGGGAAGAAATTAGAAATGTTGTGTGGTTTGGTGGCATCTGTCTTTAAGAAAATATGTAATAATCGTAAACTGGTAGTAATGAAAACAACAGGGTAATAATTTGTTGTATTTTTAGCAATTATTTTTACCTGTTTTCTCAAAGGGAAAAAAAAAAAAAAAAAGAATATTACATATGTTACTAGTAAGCAGAGCCTTCCCAGTCACTTTTTTTTTTTTTTGCCCCCCGAGTTTGGGTGAACAGTGATCACATTCACACACGTCTTTAATTTTTAGGCATCTTTTTCTTCATTCAGCAGGGAAAAAAAAAAAAAAAAGCCCCTTTTCTGTATATAAATAGAGGAAACATACATAAAAAAAAAATAAAAAAAATAGAGCACTACCCAAATATACTAGAGTTTAAAGTCTTCAATGTAAATTTCTTTGAAATTTTATTAATAAAAAAGGAAAAAAAAAAGGTTGAAAAATATCCCTAGAAGAGCAAGGAAAGATAAAACAACAAGATTGAGCTGAAATTATTTCTTTGAAAATTTCAACCAAATTTCATCTTCTTAAGACAAAACACTTCAAAGCCATCTATTTTAGTTCTTCTTTTTTTTTTTTTTTTTTTAAAAAGCTTTAAATTCTCCATTTTTTAAGGGGAAAAAAAAAAGCTTCATTAATGTATTGGAGTGGAGTCGGCGAAAACGTTAACAACGAAAAGTCGTGTAACTGAAAAATAAAGCCCTGTTTGTTTCACTTAGAATTTGTGTATGAACAATTATCACAATTTAAACTAATATTAGTGAGTACAGAGTATGAATTATATTTCGGTTTGAATTAAGTTAAACAGTTCAGTTTAGAATTTAACTTTTTTTTAAATTTAATTATTTAAATTAATTTTAAACAGTAAAAAAATATTCATTCTCTTTACTTTTTACACTTATTAAATATAAATATAAATTTTATTTTTTGTTTAAATTAAAATTTTAATTATACATCTAAATATTAATTTAAGCTACAATTTAAAACGACACTGTTTGAATTTTTCTGTGTAAGTCAAGAAGTTCAGACCAATAAAATTTTAATTAGCGAACAAAAGGGAGGCAAAAACAACTGTTTCCTCTCAGATCCTGCTCCTTCACGTTTCCTCTCAGTCTCAGGTAAGCAATAAAAAATCAACTGTTTTTGGATAATGATTAACTTATATACATTGGCTTGCACTCCAACGGTTTTATGAATGTCTTCTTCAGTACGTATTTCAAACAATTGTATGCATATCATATCATATAATAATAATACATTCATTGCACATATACACATACATACAAATGAAGTTGAAGTTAAGCTGTAGAAACGTCTGTTCATGGTTTGCACATCAACTGTTCGACAAAATGCCTCTCTTAATGAATCGGCGCATATATTCTTTTTGGTTTCATCAACATATTAATGAACAATATAAGATAAAGCAAATACGTGTTACAGCTGTTTATATATATATATATGTATATATGTTTCGTTTTTAGTTACTACAGGTATCGTCATGGGATCAAATGATAGCAAAGCTGAGGTTGAAAGTCTTCTCCGAGTTTTGCCACCAGTTGACTTCTGCTTTCTCTACGGCTCCGCTCTTCATCCCAACAACCATGACAGGGTTTTTCTTTCTTCTTTTTTTTTTTTTTTTTTTTTTTTTTTTTTTCTAGTGTAGTTGTTTTTAAATGTAGTAACTTTTTCTTTGAACTTGTTTATTTGGGCGAGGCAGTCTAAATCGATAGACTTTATTCTTGGCGTGTCAAAGCCCCTGGAATGGCATGCTCAGGTAATTAACTTCAAATGCAAACTCTTTAGCTTCTTATGTTCCTCCTTAGTAAAGAATGTCTTATGGATTTTATCCTTTTTCTTTTCTTTTCTTTTCTTTAAATGTCGTGACAACCAAGAATCTCCTACTGAACAGAGGTCACTATGTTTCATCAATTATGCGCCTTTTTGGGCCGCAACTGGTGCTTCTCTCTCTCTCTCTCACTCACTATGTACACATACACACGATGCGTATTTTAACTGATTCGGACGGAATTTTTCTCCACTGTGTGTTAGATTACAGGAGTTGCTAATGGAATCGGTGCGGGAGTGCATTTCAACCCTTATGTTAATTGGGGTGACAAGGTACTTTCCTTTCAGCTCTGATGACTCTAGATTCAGAATTGCATACGACAGTTGTATTTATACTGTTTTGTTTGTCTTTGTAGTTATGATTTATATATACCATTATGTGGGGTATGTGTAGCTTCTGTTATTTAAAAATATTATATTATGTACAAAAGTTAAATTCTATAATCCAAATGGTGACATGTGCGGTGCTCATCACCATGTTCCTCCGCCCTGGGAACTTGCTAGGATTAGGACGTTAGTTTTGTGCCCTTTTTGTCAACTGGTATTAGGGCGTACTGATATTTTGGTTTACATTGTTTCATATTTTTTTCATCTCTCTTAACATCTCAAGACAAACTCTTGGTAGATGTTCAAGTATGGAGTTGTTCGACTGCACGACTTAATTAAGGACATACTCCACTGGGAAAGATTCTACTTGAGCGGTCGATTACAGAAGCCGGTGAGTCTTTAGTGTCTTTCTATTTCCTCCTCTTCTGCTTTTGTTTGAGAAAATTTTGTTATTTCTTTCTGAAAAGCTTGGTCGTGAAGTTCCAAGTATCTGCTACGTAATGTGTTTAATGGAGTATAGATTGAAATAAGACAATAGCAAAGAAATAAACCAAATGGAAGTTTATTTTCTTAGCTTTAGTTCCATTCATGTAAATCTAACTTGTTTCACCATTACTACAAAATTTTGGGCATGCATGGGGAAAAAATTGGCTTTATTATTTCTAATACTAAACGACAGATCCCCAATCCATGTAAATAGTAGACGATTTTGAAGGCTCAAGTTTGAAATGTTCTTTCTGCATTCTTGCTGTGTCTGTCACGCAGAAACATGTCACAGTCTATTCCTTGCACGTTTAAAATCTGTTTTGGTCAGGTTCATATACTGGTGGACACTTTGGACCTTGAGGATGTCAACTCAGTTAATCTGAGGGCTGCAGTTTCTGCTGCACTTCTTCTTCTGCCAACGAAGTTCTCTGAGGTTTGCTTCAATGTCAATGCTTCATCATATTAGAACGGCAGGATTTCATTTAGTATTATTATTATTTTTTATCCTATATGACGCATCTCCTGCCAACATTCTGCAGGAAGATCTTTATGCCAAAATATGCAGCCTTTCATATACGGGTGACTTGCGTATGCTTTTTGCTGAGGACAAATACAAGGTAAAGCATAAATACGATCTCTTATTTTTCCCTCTTAATTTTCTTAAAAGAAAAAAAAAATTGTATTTTCGTACATCCTGTGGTCTGTTTACAATTGTTTCTTTTTGTTTCTTTCTTCATTCTTGAAATGATTTCTCCTTTCTCTTTTAAGATAATTGGGGTTCCACTTCATTGCATTCTTTCCTCGGAAAAATGCTGACGATGTTATTAGTGGAGTTAAGAATTGATTGTTTACTGAAGTGGGGTTATATGGTAATTATAAGTTGTTACGTCTTTGCTAAGATTCTTTTAGTGGACCAAAATAACTCTCAGGTGAAGAAGATCGTACGGGGACAGTTTGATTCATTCCAGTCAATGTACAAACCGTTTCTTGAGGAGTACGAGGGTAAGGAGTTGCTGAGATTTTCATCATCTTCAAATCACGAAGAGAAGATAATATCTCAGGTCAGTTTTAATCTCAAAGTTCTCAGTACAAAAGATTAAGATCCAAACTTTAAATTCTCTATCTTCTGTAAGAACATTCAAATATTTAGGTCCAAAAAAGATGACAATTCTTAAGCAGGACTCCAGCTTGTCAGCAGCTCGTGCTCTCGTATCTTCTCTTCCTCAAACAATAAGAAGCCAAATGGCGACGAAACTAGGAGGTAATAACTTCCACTGTATTTGAGTCCCCGAATATAATTTACACAATTTTTTTTGTCTTCTTTTTAAAAGGGCCTCTTCTTGTATTATGATCATAGCCATAGGTGGAGACGTGTGCGAACTTGCAATTCGCTCAAGAGAAGAGGGTGCGAAATGCATGCAGAACATTCTGAGACGGAAAGTTATGGTTTCAAGTGCAAGACAGGCTGTGTCTGGTCTACTGGCTGTTGGAGCTGTTAATGGAATGAGATATGTTGGTAGGAAAATTAGAAAAGCTTGGGAATCATAGACTTGAAATGATATTAGGCTTTCTTTCCCGACGATTCTCAAACACAAATTAGATGTAACATGAGAAAAGCATGATTGACCACCATTACTCCTGCTCAAGGTGGGAGTAATCCCCTCTGTAAATCAACTTCATGGACTGTTGCTCTTGATTTTATAGTCCTAAAATGAGACTTTGCCTTGAGCATAACCATGCACTAATAATTACTCAATATTATTTATCTAAACATACATAAAAGAGCTGAGTGCTAAGCAAAATGCTACTCTTTTAGTCAATAACTAGTGGAATTCCCGCGCGTTGCTGCGGAATTTCATGTTGTATCATATAAAAGAGTTTTTATTATTCTAAACATAGTTACAAAGATATGTATATATACAAAATGTCTATTATTATTACAAATATAGTTCTAAATATATATACATATAGTATCATAATTGGAAATATATTTATATGTACATATAGACATATATAAACTGTAAAAGAGTAACGCCTATCAGATCTAATGTGCTGTTGTCTTTTTTAACTGTAAGATAAAAATGTTAGGAAATCATAATAAATCAATACAATATATAAATAGCTTGACAAAGTTTTTATATAGATAATGTATAATAGAAGATGTAAAAAATTTTTTATTACCTTTTCTTTTGGCGTTTTGTAGAAAGTTCTTTTGATTTTGATTCAGAACTGAAATTAGAAAAAATTATTTAGATGTATATTTAGAAACGTTTAGAATAATTTTTATAGTAAATATGTTTTACCTTGTATCTGATCTTTTGGGAATTGGAGTTTGTGGATTGATTGTCATTGGTGATGATATAAGTGATGGACTTGTTTGTTCATGGCTGAAATGAAGACAAAAAAATTATTTTACAAAAAACATAAAACGAACACATATATATAGACATGAGGTAACTGAAATCTTGATAGAAGAGTGAAACCAAAACATGCAAAAAAATATAAATAAAAGTAATGATTATACTATGGCAAGTGTCATTAAGCATGGATTGCACCGCAAAATACAACCAATAAAAAACTAACAGTTAAATATTAGATTTGTATTAAACAGAAGTGAAAGAGATAAAGTATGCGTGTCATGATATAACAGTAAATAACCTTGCGCAATCTCGCATATAAACACCTGCAAATAAATATCAATTAGAATAATAAGTATATTACGGCAGATGTCATCAAGTATGAGTTTCACCGCAAAATAAAACCAATAGATAACTGACAGTAACATATTAGATATATGTTATACAAAAGGGGAAACAAAATTGATTATACGCCTCAAACTATAACAATTATAATAAAAAAATCAGAAATAACTAATAAATAAAAAAATTACACAAAGTGAAAAAAATGCGCATTGAAAAAACTTACGTAAATAAATCAAAATGATAGCAAAATATTAAAGAGAAAAAATAAAATATATACAGATAATAAATAATAATACGAAAAAGAGGATTACAAAAATAACAAAAGAATGGAAAAATTAAGCGGCAAAGGAAAAAAATGAAGCAGCAGAATTCAAGGAAAAAAACCCAGATATAATAAAAAATATATAAAAGAAACGGTAAAAAAATACATACAAAAAAATACCAAAATAAGTAAATAAAAAATTAAAGCAGCAAAATCATAAAAAAATACCCAAAAAGAAAAAAAAAATGAAACAGATTGAAAATAATGAAAAAGGGAAAAATTTCTAACAGACAAAAGAAAGACAAAATCAGATCTGTATCGAAAGAAGTACACCAAAAATGGAAAAAAAAAAGAAAATCAACAATCACAAAATAAATCAGATCGGGAAAAAACGAAGAAGGAAAAAATTTCTAACGGACAAAAGAGATACAGAAACAGGTCTCGGCAAAAAATACACAAACAGATCTTGGCAAAAAAATTCCCAAAATGAAAAAAAATTACAAAGAATAAACAGTAATAAAATATATCAGATCGTGAAAAAACGCAGAAGATAAAATTTCTTAATGGACAAAATCGAAAGGAAAATGGAAGAATCAGAGAAGAAATGTAGAGAGCAAATATCAAATCGCATAAAAACGAAGAAAGGAAAAAAAGGCAGAGAGCAAAAACTTGCAGAGGAAAAAGAATAAAAGTTTTAAACGCAACCATCATGAAGTTCTAGCACATTCTGCCTGTTCATTTCACCGATTCGAGTTTAGAATTCGAGTTTTGCTACAATAAAAAGTTTTCATAAACAATCACATTTAATCTTTTTACTATAGTAAAAAACTCTCACATAAAATCACATCTCAACTCAAATTACAAACTCAAATCAGCAAAGTGAACGGACCTAAAGCCTCCGCAAGAAATAGACAAAAACGACATCAGGAACTTGACATAAACAAACAATAAAAGACAAAACCGTAAATGCACTTTTAAAAGGCTAAAAATGGAAGTTCACTGTTCATAATACTGTATAGTGAACAGTAACTCCGAAGAGTCTTTTTCTTTAATGTTTTGATTTTGTCTTTTACTTTTTCTATTTCTTTTCACATTTAGTTTCTGTCTCTTTTTCCCTTTTGTTTAAAACTTACATACAGCTTATTTTTAATTTTTTTCTTTTTTTTCCTTTTTAAACGTTTATTTTATTTTTTTAAATAATTTTCTTCCTTTCTTTTACTTATTGTCTATTTATGCTTTTCAGCTAATATTATTTGACAATTCATTTTTTTTATAATATCATTCTTTTAAATATTTTCTTTTTCTCACTCTCTTAATCAAAGTGTTTCTTTTCAAATATCACCCTGCTTAAGTTGAACTTATTTTTAGGCGCTCTACGTTTCTTTTTTCTTTTTTTCTTTTTCTTTGGGATGTTGCTCCAAGAAAGTTTAAGAAGATGGATGTTTGAACAACTAAATAAATACAAATATATAAATATATAAATAATCTCAAATGTTTAAATATATAAACTCCTCATTAAATTTTTATATTTAAATGTGATGCGAAACTGACTTTTAAGTGGTGGGGTCTATTTTTGAGTGAATGATGCAATGGATTCATAAGCATTTGGGTACTTATAAATAATCTCAAATGTTTATCTTGAATCTCAGTTCTTGATTTTTAAAACATCTTACAAGTAATTTTTAAAGTTTATTCAATTTCAATTTCAGTCTTTTAGTTAGTTAGATATTCAACTTTTGACGGAGTGTGTGGCCACTGAAATTAAAATTAAAAACATCTAAAATTTAAGATATAAAATAATATAAAAATACAAAATTAATTCTCATAAATAATCTTTAAATTTAAACTGTTTTTAATTTTTATTTTTAATTTATTCAGAATCTGTGGAATGCTTAACATTAACATAAGTAAACAAATGAATTGAAATTGAAATAACGTAAAATGAAATTGATTCTAAAGGTGAATGACTATTCGTGAGACTAATCCTAAGTATTCGTCTTCTTGTCTTTTGTCTTTCGTCTTCTTGTCCGTCCATGACGATGTGTAATTGTAAATAAAATTTATATAAAAAGATCATTGTTAGGTTACGAGAGAGAGACTTGTACGATCCCTCTGAAGTATGAACAATGGGAGTCAGAAATTATCTGGATTGTCTGTAAGATATTTGGATTTGTACTACCTATTGTATGTTTCATATTTGAAGCTCAGTCGATCGATCGATGGATCAAGAAAGAGAAGAGAAGAGATTGGTGGGTATTGGATTGATTAGTTGCTGATTAGTACCCAAAAAAAAATAGTAATTACTAGTTAGGTAGTTAGTGCTGAGTTAGAAGGCAATTAGTCGTAGAAAGGGGGATTAGTGGATTATAATCAAATCAGTGGGAATTTTGGTTCAGCATAGGCTGTGGGGAATGTGATTGCTTCTCGAAATCTTGTAGACAATTCTATCTTCATTCTTTTCTTAATACCAATACCCACAGAGCTTGCTAGGGTTGTATTTGAGCAACTGGTTCATCAATTTGAAGGTGCTTACTTTCTTGAAAACGTCAATGAATCAGTCATGAAACACGGATCAACTCACCTAAAACAAAAGCTTTTGCTAGGTTGTTGAAAGAAGAAAAAGTTGATATGTTAGGAGGAAGTAATGCTTTAGAAAGACTTTGATACGGCCATTCCTCTGCCAATGGACCTGGCTCGGGAACAGCAGGCAGAAGCTGTAGGGGAAACCACAGACAAATCCAAGAAGGAAGCCCAGCTGGGAAGGCCCAAACGCATCATCAAGAAACCTGTGTGGCTAAACGACTATGTGAGTTGAAGGTGGCTGAAGTCGTTTATAGAAGTCTGACGTCGTTTTCGGATTATGGTTGAATTTACTGAATAATGGTTGTTGAGTTAGAGTGTTTCTTTATTTGCATTTTTCTGTTGTAACGTCCCAGCCTTGGAGTCCTTGGTTGGTTAGGCGATTCCCGTAGTTCTCGCTTGGTTCATGCCATTTAAGCTGTGGTTGTAAGAAAGATGGTTATCAAAGAATTAAAACAGAATTTCCTCTCCTTCCTGTTTTGCTCTCTTCTTTTCTTTCCTGTTCTTCTTCGACTTGGAGTTTACACCTGCTCGAAAGGTGCCCTTGCTGAAACCTTATCATTGGTGCTTTCTTCATCATTCTCCATCCTCCATGGCTTCTTCCGACAGTTCCCCGATCTCTCAGCAGCACCTCGAAGCTTTATCCAATTCTGTCCACAACACTTTACAGCAATTCATGCTCGCAGTTGATTCCAAGATGGCTAACCTGCGTGCCGAATATCGGGCTGCCACTCCATGTCGCGATGGATCGTCCACAACGGCAACGCCGCCGCCTGGTTTTGATCCGTTGCATTCCTGGTTAGACAATTCGGCCTTGCGCTCCATGAAATTGGACGTTCCGTGTTTCGATGGATCCAATCCGACGGATTGGCTGTTTCGCATTGAGGCTTTCTTCGACTATCACAGCACACCGGAGGACACCCGTTTGCACATCGTGGCCTTTCATTTAGAAGGACGTGCTGTAGCTTGGTTTCAGTGGGCCAAGCGGAATGCGTTGTTGTCAACCTAGAAATCATTCTTAGAGGCTGTCAAACTTCGTTTCGGACACACCGCGTTCGAGGGTTATGAGGGAAATCTGTCGAAACTTACCCAGACGGGGTCGGTAGTAGTGCTGGAACTTTGGACGGGCCGCCCGCGACCGCCCGAAAAGCCCGAGGATTTGCCCGAGCCCGAACCCGACCCGCCCGAGATTTTGGGGCCGCCCGCCCGAGCCCGAATTTCA